CATTATATTTTGTTTCATTTTGAAGTAGTTTATTTGAATTAACAGTCGCTTTTATTTTATATGTCACAGTGTCATCAATTTCTTCATTTTCAACAGTAGGGGTTTCATCAAAAGATATCGTTTCTTCGTTGCCATATATACTAAACGATAATGATATTGGAGTATATTTATATGAATTACCACTTGCAGGTATATGGCTAATACCAGTAACTGGAGATGTTTGTTGCCCAGTCCCATAAATCATATTTAATGTTTTTGAAACAGTTATTCTATAATTTATTTCATAATTGTTTTCATTTTTTGTTATTGTTATATATGGTCTATCTGCAATCGTGCTACAAGTTACAGATGGATAAATATCATTAACATCCTCATTTAATCCATTTTCAGTAACTTCTGTCCCAGTATCATAAGAACCAACACTTATGCTAGTCTCCAATGTTGTCCTACCAGATTCTACTGTTACTGTAGATGATGCAGTTGCTGTTTGCTTTTTATATTTTATTGAAACAGGAATTTGTGCTTGTTCGATTAAACTCCAATCAAATACATCAAATATCGTCTTTGTTCTATCAATATTCTTTTTTTCTATTATGTATGAACCTTCCATATATGAATATTGTGATTCTATATAACATCCCCTAGCAACATATACTCCCAAAGTTGTTCTACCTATAGTTCCATTACTTGAAGATTTATTATATGAAACTAGATTATTAAAATCGACAACAACTGGAGAATATAAAACCTTGTAGTAATCTTTTATAATATTAACTATGTATTTGCTCATTTCGACATAGTTATATTTATTTTTTAATATTTTGGTGTATTTTAGGTCGTCTACGAGTTGTAATTTTGATACTGTGCCTATTTCATCACTTGTATCATAAACTGGTCTTGCAGATATGAATTTGGGCGTATTTGTGGCATCTGCATACATCTGTAACTGTGCTATTGTGCACAAATCGTCAATTACCTGTCTATATGTCTGTCCGTATTCAATTACAGGATATTTAATTTCAATATTTTGTATATATTCTAAATCATCAGCAGAAAACATTGCGTCAAAATCATATTCGCTATTATATGACAGCATTACATCTCGAAGTAGGTCATATACACTTCGTGGCTCATCTGGATACGAATATCCTTTGTAAAGCAATTTGTCGAAGTCACTGATAAAGTTTGTCAATGAAACCGTAAGTGTTTTATCATCTGTTTCATAGTTGCTGTCATTAGTAATATGACTTTGTATTACTTCACCATCCAATTCAATATCGACTGGCAAATTTGAATTATCAAGTCTGTTTGTATCAATCAAATTTGAAATAGCACCTTTTGCGTCACCTATTTCAATTGAACCAGAGTTCGCAATACACCCATAATTGATTGTAGATTGGTCACTAGATGATTGCGTAAGCGTTTTTACACTATTCATCATAGATTTATCAATTATTAATTCAGTTCCGTCTTTCAATGTAAATTTTGCTGTTAATTCAGACATAATTCTCTCCTTTTATACGTTCTCAATAAGTGGATATAATGCAATATCTTTCCAAATTGTTATGCTTTGGTTTAACCCATAATAACCTACAATAACATCGTCTCTCTTTGCAATCCACCCAGAAAGGTGTTTCCCAGTTGGCATTGTTGTAATCCAAGAATCATCAGCAAGCCTTATTTGCTTACCGTATGATGCTTGTATATTTTCAGGTGCAGTTCCATAATCAGAACATCCATTATAACTTATTGTATATTTTTGTATTATCACAGAAATCCCTTCGTCAGTTTCAACAAAATCGCTAATATCAAGATTTGTTCCAACAAGTTTGATTGATAAGTCAACTACTCCAATCAAATGTTTTTTGAGTGAAAACAATTTACTTTTTGAACTGTCTGTGCAATAAACATCTCGTGTTACCCACTGCTCGTCATCAGTATCAAAAAATTCAGCAGTGAAATGTCTCTCTCTGCTTACAATTTTTCTTAAAACTCTATAATCTTCATAATTCATATATTTAATATTGACTTCACATCTTGCCACTAAACCAACATCAATATAATCCATTCTGTTAAATACAAAAATTCCATTTCGAGATGGTTGTTTTTTCCAAACGAACTCTTGCCACCCGTATGGGCTTTCTGGACTAGCACCAGTAAATGGGTATCTTACATACCCAGCACCAGTTAAATAAATTGTTCCGATTGATTTTTCACTAAAATCATACGAATTTTGATAATCAGGTTTATTCATAATTAACTCCTTATCTTAAATTTAGTCCAGAATTTCTTCTGTTCATTTCGCTCATAAATCTCTTTGAACGAGCAACTTCAGCACCATCTAGGTTTAATACAACATCGCCACCAACACCAGAGCCTCCACCATCCCATTCATATAAAGCCTCAAGCATAGCCTGTTTAAATTGTGCAATGTTTGTAACACCAGTTTCTCCACTTGGCATAGCAGTTACAAGTTCTGGTCCAGCCTCACCTGCTACAAACAGTGTTCCTTTATCAACCATACCTCCATTTGCCTTTTTCTCAAATACGAGATTTTTGAATGCTGCAGCACCTACACCAACAGCAGCTGTGATTATTGGAACTGCAGTTCCCCAAGACATAGCACCAGCAGCAGCCAAACAAGATACTGCAAGTGTCGTCATAGCACTGGCTGCAAGCCCTATTATCTTAACCCAATTAGGCATATCTTTAAATATTGAATCTGCGATTAAAAACGCACCCAAACCAACAGCTATTGATTTTAATGCAATTGATGTTACATCTAATGCCTTTGATAGTTTTGTTACATTTTTTGTTTCACCTGTTAAATCTTTCAGTCCAGATGTCCAACTACTAATTTTATCTGTGAGTTTTAACGCAACTATTGAACCCAATATTACAGATATTTCTGCCAATTCTGTTTTTAATTCACTTGGGTCTAACTCATCTACGCTAGCTTCAATAAACATATTATTATCTGTTGCATTTAGCGATTCAAATTTATCAAAAGACAATGTGGCTGAATTTGCAGAGTCTGAAAATTCTTTCATATAATCAGCGTTTACTTTTGTATATGTGCTTAATCCTTTTGATTTTGCAGTAATTTTACTAATATAATTTGCGATATCTGCAGTCATTGATGATATTTTTTGAATTGCAGGAGTTATAATACTTATAAGTGGAACAACTGCTACTGCTATTGAGTTAAATATTGTCGAAACAGAACTTGTCAATTCTGACATTGTTCTATTCGCACTTTCATCAAATTCTGTGAGATTTTTTATCCCTTGATTAAATCCAGATTCGATAAATCTGAAAAAGTTTCTGAACAAACGGGTTGATGCGAAGTTTTTAAATCTTTCAAAGAATTTAGTTATGCTACTTTTACCAGTTTCTTTCTCGAGTTGTTTAAACTGTGTTCTTAATTCTTTAAATCTTTCTGCAAGCTCTTTTATATCACCACCAGTTTCTGCTGTTCCTAATAATTCTCTTTGTATTCCAGCCAACTCTGTCTTAACTCTTGCTAGTCGAAGTTCTGCAATTTCAGATTTTGACATTATTCCGTCTAATATTGTTGGCAATTTTTTACCCAAGTCTTCATACTCTTTTCTTTTCGTATCTATCTTGCCTTGCAGTTCATCACCTGCTTCAGTTTTTAGTCCAGATTTTTTTGCACCAGCTTGAGTTCTTGAAACTCCGAGAGCTAATTCGTTAAACTCTGATATATTTTTAAAATTACCAGCACTAAGTATTTCGCCATAATTTCTTATAGCTTCGTTATATTTTTCTTGTGCTTGTGATAAATTTTGTAAACTCTGTTGTTTTTTCTTTTGAATCTTTATATTTTCTTCTTCGTTAAATTGAGCAACCTTCATTCTTTTTGTGAATGTTTCAATTGAAGATGAGGCTATGTCATCAAATCTACCTCTTCTATTTGTAACAGATTCAAAACTATTTCTCGTCAATCCAGATAGTCCAGCACGAACGCCATCTTTTTTACTTATTATAGTAGAATATAATTTTGTGCCAGATTTAATAAGAATACCAAGTTTATCGTTAGCATCATCAAATTCCTTGACAATGTATTTGTCAATAGACTTGCCAAGTTTGTTTTTTAATATATCTTCAAATTCATTAACGCTTCCTTTTTCTGGCTCTATACTAACGCCAATTTGGACGCTTAAATCATTTTCATTAGCCATTGGTTATCTCCTCGACTTGTTTTTGTTGAATCGTTCAACCATATCTTGTAGTTGAATTTTTCTTATTTCCTCATACTCATCTTGAGTAATATTGTTTTTCCTGCTATTTTTAAAAGTTAGTGGCTCTTTTGGATAAATCTTTTTTTGATGCTTTGAAAACTGCAAACATTGTGCAAGTGCCAACATAAAATATTGACCTTGATTAAATGCTTTTATGTCATCTTCTCTGGCTTGCTCTTTTTTCTTGTCAACATAGGCATCCCAATACGCCCAAAAATAATCTGGGTCATCATCCCAGAACATTTGAGGTGTCATACCTATTCTTATTGCTAATGGTAGCAAATAAAATTGAAAATAGTCAAGCAAATTATCATACTTAATTTCTGGTTCATTCGCTTGACTATTCATTCTGGAATTTACCAGAGTTTTTTCTTGTTTTCCTTTGGGATGCCTTCTGTAAAAACCTCGTTTATAAATTTAATTAAACTAATTTCTACATCAGCATATTCATCCAACATTGCCTCGTAAATTTCATCACTCTTTTCTTTAGTGATTTCTGGATGGGCAACATTAATCATATCATAGAATATGGCATCCATATTTGCCGAAAGTTTTATACCTGCATCAATCTCAATATCTCTTTCGAGACCATCTACATTGTTATCGAGGTCTAATCTTAACAACTCTGGACAAATTTCGTTAAGTTTTTGAATAATTCTTCTCTTAACTGTCAGAGTGTATTTCTTTCCAGCAACTTCAATCTGTCTTGTTCTCATATAATTATTTCTCCTCTTTTAATTAGTTGTTTTTTGCTGTGTAATATTCTGGTCTATATGATGGGATTGAATCAACATCAATATTGATTTTTGAAGTTCCTGATGAGGTTGTATACCAATCTTCATCAAGTTGTTCCAATTCATCTGCTGTCAAATTATAAATATCTGAAACCCAAATCATAAGTTGTGGAACTAATGTGAAACCAATTTGTCTTACATCACCAGAAGTGATTGTTGGTCTACCACAAGTTGCATTGAAAATTACTGCTGAACCATCGCTCAAAACTTCCATATATGTTTGTGGAGTTGTTGAACTTGAAATTTCTCTTGCTCTAGCATATCTTTCTTTTGTGTAGTTTAATGTGTATGCAATATCATTCAATGATGTTCTTCCTGAAATCTTTGGAATGTAATCCAAATCTGTTTCTGGAGCATCAAATGATTCTACATCACCACCAAATTCTCCACCTGCTGTAATAGGAACAGCATATTCAAAACAACCATTTGTGAATGTAGAGCTTGCAGTGTTAGATGGGTTGAAATAGAAAAGTTGAGTTCCAATATCACCAATTGCAATTGGGTCTTTATATTCTTCACCTGTTAATGCCATTTTTTAATCTCCTTTAATTAATTTTAATTCATTACTGCATATTCCTGTCATTCTTATAACTCTGCGATAAACAGAATCGACAACAGATGCAGCTTCAGTGTTATCTCTTAATCTTAGTCCCCTGCAATAATAAGTATTGAGTGGACCATTTGATTGCAACAGTCTAATAATAATATTACACAATTGCCTATTTTTTAACACTTTATCATTTCCAGATGTATAAACTTCAATTTCTGCCGTAAAAGGTGTATGTCTTTGAAGTTGAACATCATCTGGACTAATTGATGCGTTCTGATATACATAAAAAGTCACAGCAGGTAAATCAACTTCTTCTTGTTCGTCAATATCCATTGTTACAAAATTGATTTCTCTATTGTATAAATTATATACATCAGTTTCAGAAAATCTTTTTTTAATCAATTCTCTGAATTCATTTTCTACTACAATGTCATCGAAATACAAACTGTTGATTTCTTCCATCTGTGACTCCTAATATCATATTTTTTTAAATTCACTTTCTAACTTTTTACAAATATAATCAATATTTTGTTTTTCAGTAACACCTCTTAAATTAGCTTCTTTCAAAACTTTTGAAACTCCAACTTTTGTATCATAAACAAATCTAGCTGGTGGTAAACCTCTTGAAATAACAAATTCCGTATCTGAAAGCCCAATTGGTTTGCCTCTTCTAATATAATCATATTCTGACCTTACGAATGACTTACCATTTTTAGAAGTCTTAACTTTTGGAGGAACATATATTCTTTTTATTTCGTATTTTTGATTTCGGAATATTCTGTCTTCTCTGTCGAGATATTGATTACCTTTTCTCCTAAAAATGAAACCAGTTATCTTTCTTCCAGATTCAAGAGTTATTGTAGGATACCATTTAGTTTTAAATTTACCAATTAATGTGTTTATAGTTTTTTCTGTTCCATCATTAATAGCGTATCTCCAACCAAATCGCTTTGACTCTTCCTTGATATCATCGCTTCTGCTATTTGCACCAACAAGACCAGTTCCAAATTCAAGAAATAGTGCAATTCTGTTTTTACCAGTAGGTATTTTTACTAAAGGTCCAGATATTTTTTTCTTATACGCATAATATCCAGAACCAGTAGACACGACTCTTGACTTTTCATCAACAATTTCTATTGAATCAGCCAATTCTTGTATCAATGCCATACTTTTACTATTCTTAGCTCTAGTTGCACCATATTGAATTAGTTTGTCTTGTGCTTTTGTTGCTACGGCATAAGCAACAGTGTCTGCCACCTCACTACCAAGTCTCATCATCTTCTCATTTATAGCTTCATCAAAATTACGCCTATATTTTTTCATTATAATGCCGTAATTTGTTCTTTTTGTTGAAGTAGCCATACTAATCCTCGCTTACAAAAATAAGTTGATTGAATGGTTTATATCTATCATCAAAACCGATTTTGTTATAACCAGAAAATGAAAGTCTATTATCTGTTTGTTCATTTGAAGTTGGTTCTTTTGTCCAAACATATTCACCAGATTCAAATGGAATATTTTGTCTCACTGACATATAACCATTGTTAGATTGTGTGTCAAAATTTAATTGATAGTATAATAATGTATTATCTCTATAAAAATAAAGTTTTGGCATATTTATACCATTTATTCTTTCTAGCCCAATTTTAATTTCACCATTATATTCTGGGAAAATATATTTAATTGAATAATCTCCATTGATGAAAGCATCGGTTGGCATATTGTCTATCATTATCAAAGTATCGTAATATATTTGTCTAGTTATACTGCCTGCATTTAATATTAAAACTTTGTCAAAATTCAAATCATTACCATATTTATATGACTCAAGTGAACCAGATGGTTCGCTTATTAAACCATAAACAACTCTCCATTCTGATTCGTAAATTTTTAAAGTTTTGTTTGTTTTAGAAATGCCGACAGGGAATTTTATAAGTATTGGTTTAGAATCTCTTTTTGAAATCATTTAAACCTCCACTATAAGGATTGTGGGATTGATGCTTTCAGATGAGCCTCTGGTGAAGCAGTAAATGTTTTCGATATACCATTTGCACTACTAAAAGATTGTCCTTCTAGTCCACTAAGATTTATACTTTCAACTATGAATCTTACTATATTCATATCATAATTTCCAGTAAGTATCAGTGTGTCTGATGAAAGTTTTTTCCAATCTCTAATAATTGCAATAGCATCATCAAAATAGTCTCCAAGCAACTCCTCGTCATATTCATAATCTGGGAAGTTATTTCTCAACTTTCTTTGTGCTTTTTCTAATAGCGACTCTTTCATCGCATCCAGTGTTCTGTATGCCATCAACCACAACCTCCTTTATTGTTTCTTCTTTTATAATTTTTGGAGCTGGCTTAGGTTCTTCTACCAATCTGTAAGAACCAACTCCCTTAAACATATTTTCATACGCTGGTTCAGGGATAGTTAGTATATCTCCAGCGTTGTTGGTGATTTTAACCCAAGCCATTTATACCTCCTAAAATTAAGCAACTGTAGCAATGATAAGTTTTTCTGGATTTTCAAGTGTTGGCATACCAACCATTGAAACCTTAGTCATAACATTTACAGGGTCTTCTTGTTTGATTGTTGTGAGAGCAACACCCAAGTCAACGATTGCAACATCTGCTTTAGTTCCAGTAGCACCCATAAGGTCTGCTTCTTCTGGAGTTGTTCCGAATACGAATTCACCAAGTGCTCCTTCTGGGAACAATGCAACAAGATTATCAGCAACAAATTTAGTTGCAGATGAAGCACCTTGTGCGTGATATGATTTATTATACAAATAAATTGTGCATCCTGTTTCATCCATTACGAATTGACGAACTTTTGCATCTGTTGGAGTGATTTTGCCTTCGCCAAGAATATAGATTGCATTCTTAACTGCATCACATTTCTTCATAAGATTGAAAGTAGTTCTGTTCATAACAATGTTAGTAGGTCTAACACCAGTTGCATCTTCGATTTGGTCTTGCCAAGTGATGATATTTGCAATTGGGTCTGCAGTTGTTGGAGCATCCCATTTAGCTGTGCTTGTAAGATTTATTTTGTTACCAGCAGGAACACCAAAATCGTAAGAAATTGATTGACCATTGCTTTCCATAGCAATAGCACCAGTTGTAACAAGTTGTGCTCTCAAAACTTCACGAGTTACTGCAGCATCTTCAAGCAATTGTTTGTTATCATCATAAACGAAGTTAACAACACCATTAATATAAGCCTGATTGCCTGTTGACAAAACTTTCAAAAGTTCTTGTCTTTGTTTTTCATTAATGTTAAGTGCATTTTTGAAGAATGGCATTTCAGTTTCAACTTTAGAAATACTTCCTCTTACCAATGGATTAACTTTAACATCCCAAGCTTAAAGGTAAAAAACCAAATGT